GCAAACCAAACCCACTACAATCGACTCATTCAAACTCATAGTGACTCTGTAAGACAGAGTAGAACTGCCCCAAAGGATTTTCAAGGCTATAAATCCTTTCAGAAGCTGACTGCCTCATCTTTCTCCCACAAAGTGGTTGGTGAGTTTGAACCACAAACCTTCTCTTCAGCAGCCAAATGCTTTAACTACTGTGCCACCAGAGCTCCTTCAAATACATGCAGTAAAGATAAAAATTTATAATACATGCTGAAGGAGTCTAAATAAATATCAACCATGGCCCAAAGAAAGAACAGTTATATAGATTTTAAAGAGCAAGGCAAAACAGGAAAAAAAGAAAAATGGTAGCAAAATTATACTGGTATCAAATGCCTACCTTTACTTCACCGCCTCCACCTGCACTTAGCACATTTCTCCATCCTTGTTCCCTGGCCCTATTTATTCTCTCCAACTTTTGGAAAAGAAACAAAGAAAACACCATTTCAAGAATTTAATTTAAAATTCATGAAATAAATTTAGCAATTTAATACAATTTTAAAAAAGTATGTATGCCATTATGCTGAATGCAGTAAGTCAATCACAAAAGGAGAAATAATCACCTCCTTTTATATAGAAAGACAAGAAAAGGCAAATGTATAGAGAACAAAGTTTACTTGTGGTTACCAGGGGCAGGAGGGAAGAGGGAAAGAGCCAGTTAATAGTGATGGAAATACCGTGTTAAGGAAAGGTTGCATAGCTGATTATTGTAATTGCTGTCAATAAACCGTATACCTATAAAAAGCTGAATTAACAAAAGCTATGTGATCGATATATAATGATGATGACAAAAACAAACAACAAAAAAAAGGAGCTGCTAAGGCTGCTTGTGTACAACCAAAAACCTCATAGGATTTGGTTTCTTTGTTTGGAAGTTTAGCATCATGGTTTCATAGGATATCCCAGTTAACTGGCCTAATAACATGTTTAGTATCTCTGCTCTACCTCTTAGTTAGTTGTGTAGTGTTGGGGTCTTAAAAGCTTGCAAGTGGCCATACGAGGCAAAACAATTGGTCTCTATTTGGCTAGAATAACTGAGGAAAAAGGAGAGTCAGAAACAGGAGGATATAAATGTGTGTTAATTGCCTCCATATACAAATGCCTCCTTTGTCATGAGACCAAAGGAATTGGATGGTGGCTGGCTATTATTACTGAACACTCAGACCAAAGATTCCATAAAAGAATCCTGATTAAAGGGGTGGAAAAGGAGGAAAATATAGAATAGAATTTCAAATTCTCATGGACTCCAGACTTCCTGAGCTATAAATGTTAGACGAACCCCAGAAACAATTGCCCTAAGACAATCTTTAAACCTTACATGAAGATTGTACCTGGAAATCTTCTTAAAATCAAACAAAAGTTTAGCTAAACTAGTAAAAAATGTCTGTCTTGAGTATTAGGATTTTTAAAGAACTAAAATACAGGATCAAACTGACAACAGTGACTTGAAAAATTAGGAATCTTAGAGGGCAGTGAATTTATGTCAATGGGGGAGAAACAACTGAGGAAAGGAGAGTGAAAATAGCTACACAACTTGAAGAACGTAATCAGTGTAACTAAATGGTAGATGTAGAAACTGCTGAATTGGTCTATGTTGTGCTACATATATTTTCAACAATAAGAGAAAAATAAATAAAATCGTATATGAAAAAGCGTGTGTATGAGAGGAGAAAGAACGTGCCATGGAAAAATGGACCATCCTCTTACCCGTTCCTTTTCTTGCCTTTTCATCTGTTCAGCCTTCAATAAACTAACCTGTAACAATTTTAAAAACAAATTCTTAGAATTCCTAAAACTATGATAATCTAAAACTCAGCAAAGAAACAACAAAAAAAAAAAACCTACCTGATCCTTTTGCTTCTTTTCTTTTTCAATAAATTCCAACCTTCCTTTTCTTCCTGCTTCCTAAAATTAAAAAAAGAACATTTTGATCAATAATAATTCCTAATTTTTCTAGTTTCATCAGGAAAATTACCACACCAAAGACAGAGATATATGCCCACAGAAGTTAAAAAAAAAAAAAAAAAAAATTTAAAAAAGTTAGAGGTATTGGAGTTCCAGCAAGATGGTGGACTAGGCAGAAGGATTGCACAGACCCTCTTCAACAAAGAAAAGGG